GTTCGTCTGTTTCTTCGTGCTCATTATCTATATGGTGACTTATTTGTTCACAAAGCAGACAGACAGAGACAGACAGACGCGGACAGACACCGACATACGCAGCCAGACAGACAGACATGAATACCTGTGTATATAACTGCCGTCCTGAAACCCGAATGCTTCAACCACGTACCCCGGAAAGCCTCCTCCCAAAAGACAGAAAGCCAGCGGGGCAATTCAACAGCCTTCAATAGCCCTTCAGCCGAGGACAAGGCAGCCGAAGGGAAAATCAGGTCATGGTGGAGTGGTTGGGGAATAGGGTGTGCAGGGTATGGCAAGCTTGCGAGATGGGAGTTTGGACTGAGCGGCCCATGGTGGCCAGCACATGGATAGCGCGATCCCAGCGATGCCCGGTTCTCGGTGAAGGCACAGTCATGCGACTTTGTGGTTGAGGATAGTGGGGGGCACCTGAGGTTCAGAATTGTGATTGCGATCCTAAACTCTAGACTCTAGCCACGTAGGCCCAGCGCTGAACGCTTAGCCCCGAGGTCCATGGGCGACGGAAACCACGAACCATCCCGAAACCAAAGAAAACCGCACTGGCCTTTGAAGCATCCGGGAGCTGACGACGTGCAAAAGATCGGTTGATGAGTTTGGAAGGTTGTACTTGCGCTCCCCGCAGCACGGCTGCACTACAGGGTTTCTGGGAGTTCAAAACAGACATGTTAGTATTGATGTACGACAACACTTAAGCGCATGCACGACGAGGAATCCAACAGTGCAGCAAGCGTCTCACATGCTTGCAATACCCCGCCGTGGCTGATGGAATCCTTAGCAGAAGAGGGCATGTCTTCTGTTGCATGCAAACTCAAGTTCGGGTCTCAAAACCTGAAAGCTGGATCCCCCCAAGCACGCGTGATTGCCGCAATCATGCATTGGCGAAGCAGTTAAACGCGATGCGTGCTAATGTGGCCAAGCTCATGTGTAAAGTCCCGACCTTTGCAGCAAACTCTAACCGGATGCTTCAGCACTGAAGCATCCGGTGGTCTGGATTCTTCAAGCCAAGACTCCGGAAGAAGCCCCGCATCTCCCATCCTCATCAGCAGGCCTGTAGCCAAGCCCTGCTAAAGTTTGCATAGGGCTGTAGATACAGCGTGTCAGCTCGCTCGCCAAGTCTTTGTGGAGCTGCACTTTTTGATTGCTCAGCACCTGCCTCTGCATGTCCATGCCTGGAATGTAGTAATTACGGAGTTCAAGCCAATGGTTCAGCCCCGCTACACGGGCGATCGCGAGCTCCATCAACTTTCAAGCGCCCAACTGCCCGCCCTTTCCCTGAAAGAAAATCGATCCTGCAGCGTGCGCCCACCGGCCACCTGCCCGGCGATTGCGGGTTGAAACGTCTCGAAAAAATGCGCTTGAGGACTGGAATTGGCGTGGGCATGCCTGGGTGAGGCCAAGCTGCTGGATTGGTCGCTTCAAATGCCCGAAACTTGCAAGCTTCAACTCGGCAAGCAGCCAAACGTTCATGCGTCTTGACACCAGCTCAAACGTATCCGCATCGCCGATCGACTGTTCAACTTCTTTGTCTTGCGTGGTGCTAAACACTTCAAATTTGAATGCCTCAGCGATGCATGCACTGGTCCTATGAAACCTGCTGTGCACCATTGTCGCTGTGGGCTCAAAATCGACTTGCGGTCGTCAAGTACGATGCCCGGCTTGGCGCCCTCGCTGCATGGCTGGGTGCTCTCCGGCATGTTGAACAATGCATATCACATGACGCGAGCAGAACACCCTTCCAGAAGCTTCGGAAAGCCGGGCGGGCAAAAACCCCCAGGTGTTACGATCGCCTTACAGGACGCTGGCGTCCTGCATCCTGCATCGCTCCAGGTTGTACAGGCAACAGCAAACTGATCTGAGTCTGAATTTCTTCAACACCGGCAAAATCTGATGCGTCCGCGATGTTTGCTCGCCCATACATGTGAGGTTCCACACTCACCTATCTAAGATGAAGGCCTGAATGAGGTTGGCAGCTGTCATCGAATTATCTCTGAGACTCTATGCAAGTCCATAAAATGTAACTTGTACAGCTCTACCGTGTGACAGAGATCCTGGAATCGTAGCGTGCCCAAACCATGTCAACACCTCCTTCAGGCTCGAAAGTAACTCTTTATGTTAAGTTATGTCACTCTATATTATACTTTGCTATGATTGCCTGATTCCCAATCATATACCATAATACAACCCTCTCTCTCTCTCCCTCTCTCTCCCTCTCTCTCTCTCTCTCTCTCTCTCTCTCTCTCTCTCTCTCTCCCTCCCTCTCTCTCTCTCTCCCTCTTTCTCTCTCTCTCTCTCTCTCTCTCTCTCTCTCTCTCTCTCTCTCTCTCTTTCTCTCTCTCAGTCGCTCGAAGTCAGGCCTGGTCGAAGGGCAACATCTGCTATAATACAACCCTAAACCCCAAATCCGAGACCGTATATCATGTTCGGTTACTCCACCCTTCTGTGGACTCTGAGGCTTCCTTCAGCCCACTTGCTGCTAGGGCTCGGAAACCTCTGGGGTGAAGTTCAACTGTCTACAAGAACTAAGTTCCTCTAATGGGGAGCATAGGGGTTCCTTCAAGGGATCCATCTATAAGGGTACCATAAGGGTGTTGCGTTTAGGGTTTAATATAGGAACCTGATGAAGAAACCCTGTCTTTATAGTAGGGTTCTAACCCTAAATATTTTGGGGCTCTAGGGCCAGGGTGTCTTAATCAGGTTCCTATACATTAGGACCTTAGGACGTTTGGGGGCACGCACTGCGGTAGAGCATCAAAGGATATGAGTATGATATGAGCATGCAATGCAACGATGTAAGAAGAAACTCCGCATAAAGAAGTGGAGAATCGAATCCCCTCCAGGATTGTGAGTTTAAGAGAAACAGACTCTCAACACACAGGGCCCTATACCCTACTCACGGGTCCGTTGAGAGGAACCCCTTCATGAAGGTACCTTGCCGATCTGGCTGTTTTTGTTCGGAGCCCGGAAAGGACAGCCCCGATCACTTCAGCCTCGTCATACCCTCAAACACTAGCCTCAAACTATAGCTCGAGCACCAAGCTCGCATTCCATGTGTTTGTGTCACCCTTTCGTAAGGGAGCGTACTTGAGCATGTTAGATTCGATGCCCTGGGCACGGCTCGCCATGCAGACGACAACTCCAAAAGAAACGGTGAAGCTGTCCGACTCGTCAGGCCGGGAGAGCCGTAGCATCATACAGCTGTCGAGAGACTGATCTGTCACATTCCCCATACTCGCATCGTGTGTTCCTCTTGCGTGGCATTGGCGGCGATAGCAATACTTTCCCGATTGACCTATAACCTCCGATAACCTTAGCGCTTCACAAACTTGTCAAAGGCGTAGCCTATCCATTCCTTTACACGGGTTTAGGCTTTAAGATTCTCTTCACCCTCCAGAAAAGATCCAAATTCCCTGTCGCGAAGGCTGCAAAACAACCCAAACAAGTAACAGTAACGGGGAACGCCATACACGGGTTGAGGTTAAGGGTATGCCCGGATCCGGACGTAGCCCATGTGCCGATGTGCAGAACCTCGCCGGCATGCGGCGATTGCCGCCCTGCAGTCGTGCAGGTGGTGCACCTCGCTCTCTGGAGGGCCCCCAAACCCAAATAAACGGTCCAGTTACAATCAACTCATGGCAAAAAGCCGCCGGCGGCACAGGTGATACGATACCCCAACCCGGTAGACACTTGAAAGAAAACATCCCGAAGTATCTGGAACCAAGATCTCGAACACTGTCGTAGAGTCCCCGAGTTTAGGATACTCTGGGATATTTGTAGGTACTCCAATGCCAATGAATCCGAGAGTTTGTCGACTCCTTCCTCAAGGACAATCCGGATGCAGGCTAAGATCGATGAACTCCAGGGAGTCGAATCTCCGAAAATAGGGGACCCCAATATAGTACCCTAAATAGTAGGATCCCTTTTATAAGGACCCCAAAACAAGGTACCCCTAATTTTCGGAAACTCCCAAATCATGGTGTTGCGGTTACAAACCTCTGGGGGGGGCAATAGCTAGAAGACTGGTAGCTTGTAGGGCGTTTTTCGGCAACTGAGGGCACCTGGCAGCGGGCTTTCATGCTGCCGCCATGGCAAACGCAGATTTTGAGGAACGAATTCTGAGGGCTTCAAGCACTCATGGCAATTCGACCCAAGGCTCTCGTGGTGTTGGAGGTTTGCGAACAGTGTGTTCCATGTAAAGCCTACGGTGTCAAGCCTGCGCCTAGTGCTGCGGAAGACGGAAACGAGGCGCAGAAGCTTCGTGCTGAAGACAGAAGGACTTGTAATTGCAGCCCTTCCTATTCAAAATCCTCAACTGGACCCACGAGCTACTCACGGTGCTCGTGTCCATCCTGTCACAGCCCGAAGTCTTTCAGCGGCCAGGGTTCTACTCCCCACAGAGACCCACATTGCATAGCTTATGCTGGGCGATACATAATCCAGTTGTTATTACAATTTTTGCCATTGGCGTCTACAGTATATGCTTTATGGTATGATGACATATAGTTACAGCAACAGCAGCATAAGGACCGTGACTCCTCTTCTTGAATGAAATTCAGGACTTCACGTCCCATCTGAAGCAGCCACCCAGAGATGTGGGCATCGGCACACAAATTTGTGTCACGCAGCAATGTTTGCAAGCGGTGCTGTTTGGCCTCCGTGGCATGACGAGCGCTGCACAATCCTAAGCTTGAGACTGGGACTCTTGCGCACATCCGTGCGGCCCAAAAGCTCGCGGCGTTGAAGTGCCACTCCGGAAACAGAAATCCCGAGATGTCGCTCTGCCGATCATGGCGGTTCTCCAAGTTTCGGGTCCCCTGTCGGATCTCCAAAAGAACACATCACTCTTACAATCAAGACCCTGCAAGGCACCCAAGTTTGGACAACTCCCCATATTTCCGGCTGACTTCTTTCGGCATGGTGGCTGTACAAGGCAGACAGGCTCATTTCCGGAGCCCATTCTGTGATTACACGGCCTTGGCATGCTGCTTCATTCGAGATCGGAAGACGGAAACGAGGGCAAAGAGCAAACCGTATGTGCTCAGCATGGTGAATGCAAAGGACACGGGAGTGAAGATCACCTGGCTTGTAGTTCCGGGGCCCATAACAGTATTTATGAATAGGAACTTGAGCAACCATAAACATCATTACCGGAAACTAGCAAGTTTCCCAAAGTGCAAACTAAGTCTCTCCAACTTGTGCCCCGACTCCTCGGCCCAGGGTCAGTGCCAGCAGCAGCCAGGATGCGGCTCGATCCTTCAAGTGCGGCGCCACGATCTTGGGCGTCAGTGCATAGGCGTAGTTCTTGACCACACAGCTGGTAGCTTGGAGGAGCAGCAGACCGACGAATGTCAGTGTGATCGTGGCCGCGGACCAGCTTGACGAGAAGTGGAAAGCGAGTGTGGAGATGATGGCAGTGGCGAGCGTGCTCAGCTGGAGGCCCTTCCTGTCCTCCACGAGCTTCACAAGCCGGCTGCTCCCCAGCGACAGCACGCAGACGACCGCCATGAGCCCTGCGAGAGCCCAGGAACTCAGGGCCAAGCTCCAGTGCCAAGTGTGCTGCGACAGCTGCGTGAAGTAGACCATGCACCCGATGTTCGTCATAGTGCTTGCAAAGCCCGCTAAGAGGCAGAGAAGGATGCCAGTCGTCCACAATGACTCCCGCTTCTCCGCCGGCGATTCTGCAGTAGCATGACTGGGTTCCAGTGAGCGCGCCTTTTCCGGGTTCTCGAAGAAGAATACCACCTTCAACAAGTACGAGAAGTATACAATCGCCATGAACCAACCGGGGGCGGTGTCAGAGTCCAGCACAAGGTTATGAACCCGCAGCTCATGCAGGAAAGTTTCTAGCAAACCACAAATGGCTGGGGCCACTGCCAGCGCCGAGGTAGCTACCGCAGAGTACACAAACAATACCGGCGTCCGCTTCTTGACACCCACGGCATCTGCAATGTAGATGGGTGCACCCAGTTGAAACTGACAAATGCCAATGAGGGCGCGCGCGAAAAGCACTGCCAGCTTCGAGTGCATGAGCCCGGCCAGGGCGTAGATGATGTGTCCCACAACCATACCAGCAGCCATAAGAATACTCACGGTCTTCATGGAAGCGGATTTCAACATCCAGCGGTTGAGAGGGACCCCGATCAAGCCCTGGAGAAGAGGCGTCAACGCAATGACAAGTCCACTGAAGAGGGCCCCGGCTCCGAGTTTTCTGGAGTACTCGTCAACCGTGGTGACCACGATGTCCAAGGCCAAGGTTGACAGGAACCCAGAGTACATTACGAGGCAGAGCGATGGCAAGGGCGCCATCCGCTCCTCCAAAGCAGCCTGAGCCTGAGAACCTCGAGAGCCAGAGCCAGAGCTCTCTGCATCGAAGGAGTCTCCAAGCCCAAAGGTAGGGGAGCGGCTCAGGCTGAGGGATCCGATTCTCTCGGATCTTGGAGAGCCCGAGCTGAGGGCTCCTCTGTAATGGGTGGGCAAGGTCTCTGTACACGTGACAGACATGGCTCAGGTCGGCGCACGAGGCTATCGAAGCTGGGGCGCCCAAAGAAGCTGCGGACAAGAGACAGTCGCTCGCAGAACCCGCGGCTCTGATCTCGCTTGAACTTGGCCTCATCTGCTACACTGGCAACGAAAACCCAATACTACGCAGCAAACAGAACTCCGTGCAATCAGGCGAAGAATGTTCAAGGCTTTACGGCAATATACCAGTATACCACCTGTATATTTCACCCATGGCATGTCAGCAGCTGGAGATACCAAAAACTGTGACCAAACTCGATGTCGCTACGTAGCAATGCAAAGGTGTGTAAACTGCAAACTTGACAACGGTATGTAATACAAGCATCCCGCAACTTCGACCATCAAACATGTGATGCACAAGTGTGACCGAAGCTGCTAGAACATGTTCGCGCAGCACACACATGCATGCAATACCTTTCTGCCTTACTGCCGGATAGCTTCAGGCAATGTCATAGTCTGCCACATGCTTCCACAAAATAATATTGCAAGCCACACCCATGTATGTGAGAGTACATGTGTACACTCTATCTAGTGTGGCAAAAAACCTGTATATCTCCTTGTGTGAATCTCTGTGTATATATATAGAGGGATGTATGTATGTATGTATGTACTATAAATATACATGTAGTGTGCATGTATATATGGGCCTCGTTTTAGGCTGCAGGAGTAGTGGCAAGCATAGGTGAGAATAGTGTGCGCATCATAGCGCATAGCTGATGATATATCCCAAAAGCGAAATACATGATTCATAACAGTTGGCTGTGGACCAACAAGACAACACATCAGCACACAGTAATCATATGCTCCTATATATCCTGGGACAGCTGGTGTTCGAAAACAAAGCACAGAGTAGACATACAAGACAGTCCAGCAAAGGACACATGGCTGTACGCTGCATTGTTAAAATTTGATACAGTAGCATAGAGTGAAACACCATGTTGATATCCGGATAGAACGTCAGAACTGTGGCATGGAAATCTGTGGGATCCTCATGGGGGCAACTGCCCATGTGTGTATCATGTGTGTTTGTGTGTTTACATGTACGCATGCAAATACATCTATATCTGTATGTGTCTGTCTCTATATATGTGTATACATATACATGCTCATGCTTATTTTTCGATTGCCACGGTATTTGAATACAACTACAAGCTTATAGAAAACATCTCCCGCGATTAGCTTCTTCAAGCCAAAGCCTGTAAGCAACCTACCGGAACATTGGCAACTGCGCTGTTCCGGACGCTTTGCCTCACCCCTGCAAAACTCTTCTGTCGAATGTGCAAGCACGTAGAGTTGATGAGACAGCTGTGCGGCAGTGCGCTTGGGGCTAGGCTTTAAACTGAATTAGGTTGGGAGGGGCAGGGTGTACGTCGGTGCTTCGGTTCTGGAGTTGGCGCTTCCATGTGCTCAGCACATGAAGCAAGAAGCCGCTCAGTCGAGCCATCACCTGCTTGAGGAATGTGGCTTTGGCAGCGTTGTTGGCCTTTGGGTTTGCAGTTTGCCGCTCTCTGTAGCAAAGGTTTCTGCCGAGGCTTTGGGGTTTTGCTCTCATGCAAAGTTTTGCAGCCCTCACTTACTGACTGCCCTGTTCGCTCTGACACTGAAAACATTCACCCCCTCGCTTTCTGCCCTTCTTCTTTACCTTTCTCTTGTGTTGTTCCATGCCTTTGCTCGCTTGTCTCTTTTCGCGTTGTCTCTTGCTCTATGTGTCCTTCTTTCATGTCTTTCCGTCTCTCTCCTTCTCTACCTGTGAGCAGAAACACTAGAGGCCGGTCTTTGGCGCTCGTGCTCTTCCGGAAATCTCAGAGTTGCAAATTATCAGCGGTCGCCTCTTCCGCCTTCGGCAGGGAATAAACCGTAGGCTGTGAGACCAGGAAACACTCCGCGCGACGACAAGAGATACAAGAGGGGCTGCAGCAGCAATAGGTTGATGATGCGTTTCATGGAGCTGAGCTTAGTCTGCACAGGAATGTTGCGAACAAGTTTGTCAGTGGTTTCACGAGTGAGTCTGGCTGCACCTTCGGACATCCTGAAATTGCTAAAGCCCTCGGAATCGATGCTTCAAGGGTGTCAGCACCGAGATCCAAACCCGAAACCCAGCCCCCAGACCGAAGACGCTGTCTCTCTCTCTCTCTCGAGCGTCAAGCCTGGCCGAAGGGCAGCACTCGTGGCTACTCGCGAAACAGCAAAAAGAAAACCCTAGCCTGAGTGGTCAGTCGGTTGCCTTCCAAGCTGGTCGTCCAATCGTGCTGTTCGTCTTCGCTCATTGAGTGCCCCTCTCGCACTGTTCCCGACCTGTTAGTACCAGAAGCACTACATCCTAAAACCCGAAACCCCTAAACCCTAAACTCCTAAACTCGAAACCCTTAACCCCCGATAAAGCACCCGAAACCCCTAAACCCGAAACAAAACCTAAACCCGAAACCCTGGGCCTGGAAGTTGTCCACTTCGGGGCACGGCTGCCCTGAAACCGAGGGCCAAGAAGTCGAAAGCTTAGGATATTTAGTCTCTGTAGAGTTTGGGGTAGGGATTTGATTTGGGGGCCTTTGGGTTTCAGGCCTGTCTGGTAGTTTACGCTTCCATCTTTCAAAGTGTTGCGGACGTATTCTCGTAAGGCAAGTAGGCTTGGCTTGGCTCTCCCCCTTTCCCGCCGGAGGCCTTCTCAAGAAGTGCAATGGGCTCTGAGTGAAATCTTGTGCTACTTACTGCTACTTACTGCATACTTCTTAGATACTCTCTCGCAGCCTCTCTCTGTCCTCCTCTTTTTGTCTCAGGCTTTGCTACAGGACATTTCCTTCAAGCTTTGCTCCCTCAGCCCGGAGGCAACCCAGCAGGTTGCAACCCTCCTAGACGCCAAAGAAGCGCAAAGGTGTTGCCTTGGCCAAGCCAATGAGTTCTGAAGGCTTTTCGGCCCTTGCTCTCGCAGGAGGCAGGCAAGGCTCCACATGATTCAAGCTGAGACCGGAGGTTTTAGGGCTTCGTGCATTTTTAGGGCTTCTCCCCTCCTCAACTTGCTTTCCGTGCAACTTCAAGGCCCCCTCAGCCCAGCCCAGCCCAAATCAGGTTCCCCAGCCCGGGACAGAGGCGCCCCGAGGGTTCCACTACGATCGGGATCTTCTGGGCAACTTCGCCCATTTTCTACCGAAATTCAGGGAAACCCCTGTTTTTTTTATGCCCCTGGGCTTGGGGCCTAAACCCTTATAATCCCTAAACATCCCTTACAAACCCTCAACTTCTTGGGGGCCCCGCCCCCCGTTCCTCCAGGCCCCAGAGTCAGCCCACAGCCGACTCCAGGCCCGAAGCCCCCCGCATATCAGGCAAAATTCAACGAAGAGGCTCCGAAAAAGGAGACTTTCGCTCGAAACTGTCGCTCCAAACTTTGGCACCCAAACCCTTAACAGTTTCTATACACCATATGGCAATCGCAAAGGTGATGATGCAGCAAGTATCAAGAGCAGAGCTGGGCCTCAGGCGGCGGCTGCGAGGAGCCGAAGAGGCCGCCGCGTCTGCTCTTTGGAGCCGAAGAGCCCGCCGTGGCGGCTTCGCTGCACACACAAGCGCCCACAGAGGCTTCGGGGCTCAGGGTTTGGGAAGTTTAGGGGTTTAGGGTTTCGGTTTGGGTTTAGGGTTTAGGGTTTGCAGGGCTTTAGCGACTTTAGCGGTCAGCGGAAGCCCTGCCCAGGCGGTCAAGAAAGCACCTTGTTTTTGCGCCACGAGCAATTGTGAGTGGGAAGACCGGGTCCCTATTAAGGCATGTGGACAAACGACCCACCCACGAGGGAGAGGTCCCGGCAACACAGGGTGTGGCCGCCGTCAGCAGTGCTCCAAGAACAGCCAGTTAAGATTTAGCGTTTAGGATGGCTAAGGCTGCAAGGTTTAGGGTTTAGAGTTTGCTCAGCCGGGCACATACTGAATTTACGGCAAGCTCGTTCGAGCTTGTTCTGTGTAGTCCAGTTTTTGTGAGACGAGAATTTAATTCTGGACCGCAACTGTCCCTGAACCCCTAAGCCCTTAATCCTACTGCAATTGTGATACAGTATCGGAGTCTGGAAACGGGATTGCAGTCCATCTCCGGCACCTCTTGAGCCAGAGGTTGCACTGTCGAAATCATGCCGCATCTAGGACCAGGTAGGGTTTAGGGCTTACGGGTTTAAGGTTTAGGCTGCAGAGTTTAAGTTTAAGGGTTTAAGGGTTTAAGGTTTAGGGCTTAGGGTGTAGGGTTTGAGGCTCTTCTGGCTCTTAGTCCCGGCCGAAAGCTTCGACCTCAGACGCAAAGCGGACGCATTGCAGAAGCGCCAGCTCTCTGGGCAGGCTGTACCGATTAAGAACTGAGCCAAGGTGGGCTTGGGCACGTAACCTAGAGTCACACTATGCAACTAAGGGTAATCTCATTTCACACCGTCGTGCTTTGCCCGGCCTGTTTTGTGAGACTTTGGGACTTCAACAGGACTGGAATTTCGGAATCGGCTTGCCGCTCCTTCGTTGCAGGTTTGGGATCAGCCTGCGGTTGGTCTTCTGGCTCGTAGTCTAGCTCTTCTGGCTCATAGTCTAAGTCTAGACGTTCCACTAGAAACGCTGCCAATCCATAAACGCTCAGGAGCACGCTGAAGCACTGTACAACTGCTTGTGTTGCAGTCTGCACACAAAATACGTAGCTGTACGATGTTATCATCAGGCTGAAGAAGGCTTCGCCGCCCTTCTCCTCGTCAAAGACCTCGAGCCTGGGACGCCAAGGATACATGCAGGGATGTCTTCTTGATGCTTGGGTGCAGGTGCTTACTTGCGGCCTGCCTTGTTCCCGAACTTGCCTTTCATGTCAACTCAGATTTTAAGGTGGGACTGTCCTGTTGAAAGGAGAGGAGCGCAGTTCCGTGACATGATTTCTGGCCGACCTGCACAAGTTTACCAGCCCGGAGATCCACTCCCACCACAGAAATGCTAGAGTACAGACAGACGATGTGGGCACATTGCATTGTGAAGCA